GACCTATATTTGAACTAACGTCATTGCCATCAGCAAATTGTACTTCGTCGTGGTCAATTTTAGGTCATATTCCTTTGTCAATATAAAGCATGGTGTTGATTAAGGTCATTGGCCCTATCTTACATAATTTATGAAATTCATATATTATAGCCTACTGTATTTTATAGAAGCAATTGCTTTACACACCCTATGATACTTGATATGATACGATATGGCATAAAAGAAATATTATACAAACAAAACGTTTTGTTATGTGTTATAAATTCAATTTAAAGAAGTCTACCTCGGCGACAATGCATTGTCAGACATATACATGACAGGTGCGATAATATAAACAATGAACTTGAGACATTATATGTGTGAACAATTAAACACGTGCCACTTATATTCTTGACGTCGCCCAAACGTGTAATATTCAAATTAAACAGGTGTAACAATAAACAAATGTCTGCATACAAATGTTGCGAAATACGAATATCTGACAGACGGTGTCAATTGTAACTTTATTATTTTGACATTTTTTTACGTCCGAAATCCAACGAAGTGATTCACTTAAACATTTTATACATTTTCAAGTTCGCAATTTGGTCTGCACTTTAAAACAATTCCACAACAACCGTATAATCTACAAATTGATTGTGTTTTTTTCTTCTTTATTTTGTTTTTTAAAAGAAATGATCTCTCTTGGTGCAAAAGTTAATATTGTTAAGTGTGTTAGTCTGTCTTCGAACTGTTTTTTTTCCTGTAATATAGAGACAGCAGATGAAAGTAAAAAAATATACAGTAACTGAAAATGAACGACTAAAAAACATTTATAAACATTTTTGAAAGAGCCATTCATGCGTGCAGCTGGATTTTATTAATAAGGCAATGTTCACAAGCGAACTTGTCGTTTTGTCGGGTGAATGACGCAAAAGTATATGAATACTGAAATAATTCTAAATTAACAGTTCGAAGTTTTTTTTATTGTAATTAATGTCAGAAACATCTGTCGCAATTGTGTACATTGCATTAATATTTAATGATTGCGACAAGCGAAGTTTACGTGACTTTACCTAAATACAGTTTGTACATTGAAATAAGTCTTTGACTATTAATAGAACTCATCAACTATTACACGTGTCCGAAAATGAATGTGTCTGTTCTTTGATATTAAATGACGTTAAATTTCATTCTTCGTTATATGCAGATTCTCCACAATAGACAAAGAAGTAACAAGAAATCTTTGATGCAGATTTCCTTTATTCTTACCACATGTATCAATAGAAGACATATCTGGCATGGGTTATGAAAGGAAAAGTTAGTTTAAACTAGTAAGGAGACATTTAATTTTAGATAAAAAACAACAACAACAATATATTCTATAAAACATAACTTTAAGAAGAAGAGTGATAAGTTTTAAGCAGGAATTGATAAAAATGTATCATAGCTCAGGTTGAGGGTAGAAATAGTAGACAATAGATAAAAACGAAGGAAATAGCAAAAGTTTGTTTCCAGCAATGACTTAAACTATTTTTACAAGACTAAATTGTTTGATAATATAGAAACCATAAATAATATTAACAATTTGATAAATGTTGTTTAATTCCCTCTATTTATATTTATTTCAAATGTGTTTGAGTGAATAAATAAGAAAAGCTGGAAAAAAATGTGATCCCTCGGAATCATTAATCACAACAAAATTACATGAAAATTGCAGACTCGGTTTGATTAAGTCTGTATATGAGGGATAATGAAAGTGCACTTTATTCATTCATACCGATATGAATTATAATAATTATATATTTTATTCCTCCAATATTGAGGAGCATAATACTTTTTCGAGGTACGTATACCCTAAAAATGTATCAGACAACTATAACTATAATTAAGTTCTATTGATTCATTCTTCCAGAATTTTATCTTGTCTGTTTGTGTCATTTTATGTTTCTTTTAAATTCTAGTTGTTAATAATAGATTGTGTTTCACATTATTCCGTGCGCAATGTCTGCAGACCTGCAAAATATAATAACAAAGTCACCCTACAGACATGGGGAAAGTGAATGTATAGACACCATATGTAAAATATTAATTTTCAGTATAAGCCATCTTGATTAAAACAAGTGATATTGCATACCAGATCCGGAGGCACGTGTGTTTTTGTTGTAATGAATACAATAAAACAGTCTTACATATAAACAGAAAGTTATAAAACAATAGTTTACTCGTTGCAATATTTGTCAAATAGTAATATATCTATGACATGTATGATATACTGTTTGATGTCGTTAAGCATTCATTTTTAGACATCTTAAAGTGTTGACCATCACATCTCAAAATGCGTATTTAAACTGCTCAATTGTGAAACCCTTTTCAAACTTATTACTTTAAATGGCAATTTTTATTTCAATCTTGACAAAACCATTTATAATTTGAAAGATATTTTCAAGGAAAAGCAAACAGTGCAGGCCATGATCAGACGACACAAATGTGTTGGTTTATCTTGGTCTACACTGGTGTCATGTTACTTTCCTCCAGCATAGAAAAATACAAACCTTTGAATATAAATGCTTTAATTATCCTATCACAAATTCAGTGATTAAAGTTAATGGAAATATAAGCAAGTCATGCCTTTATATGAGAAACAATATTCTAACAATTGCAAAATGTTGGTTAAATACAGTGTTATTTAAAACAGAAAATAATTTAAAGATAAATATCTCTGATTGATAGGAACATGAATGTATTAAATTTACTTAGTTTAACAAGTTAATATGTTTCCTGCATTTAAATAATTCAATTTACTTCTACGTGTGCGGTCTTACTTATAAATAAAGATTAAGATACAGCAGTCGCATATCATTCAAACATGAACATTTACATATAAATGAAATTCATCATCAATGGTGTTTACATCCCCAAAAAAGCATTCCAAAATGATCAGTTATATATTTCCTTAAAGCGCTTTAATATGTTTTTTTGTTGTTTATCAGTGCGAAATTTCAAAATACGTAACTACAACCATTTTTACACATCTTTTTACATTATTGAATTTAATTCTTTTTTTCCATTTACACAATCTTTGTATTACATTTCATACACAATACTGATACAAATAATGGCGTATAAGAAGTATGCAAGTGCCCTCATAATCATTTCACGGCAACATCTTTGAGTTGTATCGTTATTTAACAACCTACGAGTTCAGCACCTCTTATAAAAATATTAAAAGATTATAAAAGATATAATGAAGGTTTTACCGTTGATGACAATTGATTTTGAAGGCGAGACCTCTATTTGAACTTCAGTTATTGCCAGCAGCATTTTTGTTCCAGTAGGTGGTCAATGTAAGGTCGTTTTCCTTTATCAATATAACGTGTGATGTTAATAAGCGTCATTGATTCATTACTGAACACTTTGCTTCCTTAATATATGATAATTGTAGAGAAATATTTTCTTTGTTTTATAACGCTTACGTTTGATATATAATGATATAAAAAGTATGACACTGAAAAGCGATTTTCTTTATGATTTGTTTGTATGATTGTTTTTACAATTATTATTATTATTATTATTATTGTTGTTATTATTATTATTACTTTGCGTTTAAAGAGAGTAATATTTAGCCTCATATAAACATGAAGACCCGAAACAATGTGAACTTATTTTGAGACATTATGAATGTTAATGATTAAACACGTGTCACTTATTTTCCTCACGTCGCTCAAACGCTGTACTACATAATTATTTCAACTTTAAAAGATGTAAACAAATTTACGAATAACATTGATGGGGAAGGTTAGTTTATTCAGAAAGTATTTTCTCATCACATCTTTTGCACATTTGAAATGGAACAAACATATCTTGACGATAGCTTGACGTTGCAAAAGGCTATTACGACCACGGAAACTTTTTAATTATATTGTACAAAATTACATGCGGACGACATATACAAATTGATCAGCAAATATTTTTAACTATTTTTTTTTTATTTATTAAACATAAATACTTATTCTTCTTTGTAGAAAAAGAACATGATAACTTAATTCCCTAGCCAAAACAGACGGACCACCAACCCTTTATCATTGAGATTATAAGTTGAAAATAATAACAATGATTTATTTTTGGTTTGGTTTTACGTCGCATAGCACAGTATAGGTCATATTGCGATTTTACGGCTTTACTGGTAGAGGATGACCTCAAGTGACGTTTCGTTGATTATTTTAGGCACGAACGGGTTCTTTAGGACCTTCGACGTTTCCTAAGCCAGCTGGATAGTTTCCTCCTGTCAGGATTCGAACCAGTAGTAGTGGAAATATCAAGGTTGATAATATTGATAAAATTCATTGAAATGAAAACCAACAATAATAATTACAATAAAAATAATAATGATATAAAAAAACGATGATTAATAATAATTATAATGATAACAATAATGATAACAACCATAATGATTATCTAAAAATGTAACAGCAACAACAACACTAGGGCTGATGATTTCATTAATAAAAAATAAAATATGTGAAAAACGAAACAGCCACATCACGTACTTATGGGTCAAGGTCAAATTAAGCTAAATTGTGAGTATTGAATATAATGTCATTTGCTGCTTACATCAGTTTTATAGTCAAGACCTGTGTTTGAACTTCTAGGTTATTGTCCTGAATATGTAAAACAAATGTTGAAATGATTAGTATTCTGTAAACGTAACGCTTACGTATCAGGACATGTCCTTCATCTCTTTTGTTAATTAAACACAATTAAGCCTGACATAAATAAGAATTGTTTGAACGGTCTCTAATGTTCATACTTTCTTGAAATATTTTCTTACTGCTTTGCAAATACTTACCCACGAAACACATATTAAGCAGATATTTCTTTGAGAAATAATACCAAATAATATGCATTAAACCACAAGAGTACTCGGCCAATGGAGAGCGTTTCTTCCAATAAATATACAGCGTTGTATTTTCAATAGTGATAAGCGATGGAAGACTCTGCGGCAACCAGATATAAGCACATTGGAAGAAACACATGCGGCAAAAAGACTTTTAATGACCTTAAACGATAGTAAGCTACAGTGAAGATTATTTGATGATAATATTTTCAACAACGCAGGTGTGCAACGATACAAAAGACAGTTGTGATATGTAATATCATTAAACGGGCTTTGTAGAAGTAAAAACGGGATCACAAAAGTCACTCTTATCGGTCTCTGATATTTAAAAAGCTTATGATGCGATACGAGCGCATTTTATTTGGCATATAATACGGAATTACTGCTACAAAAATTAATGCCGAGTTAGTGTGAAAAAAAGTATACAGACATATTATAATACTTTTCAAAGCATTTGTTAAGAAAACTGAAAGAATAATATACATTTCCCGAGGACGAACGCTCAGTACCACTATAGATTTATTCATTTTCAAAAACGGATGCATACAAAAGAAGACATTTTGAAGAACTTGGATTAATATCATATAGCATTATTGAAGGGCTGTATGGTACTTTTCACTTATGCTATTTGGATATACATCAAACGTAAGTACTCTGGGTTTTATTATTATTATCATTATTATTACTATTATTATTATTAAAGAAGCGACATTTTTTCCCTATAAAAATGTATTAGTTATAAAGAAATTCCCCAATATCAACATTATTACATTAATGACAAACAGTATAAAAGCAATATCCGTTGTCAAACAAGTTGCCGTTTTATTTAATTTTACCTATGATATATGGTGCTATATCAGTCAAATATATTTCATATTTGTAAAAAGATAAATATGAAATATAAATATGAAAGTGGTCGGAGTCAAAACTCATATTTATTTTAAGGGACTTTGTGAAAATATGTGGCATTTTATCATGTTTCGTGAAAATATATTCCATATTTCACTCAAAAATTATCCTCTTAATATTTGAAAGTATACGTGCTATTTTTTTCTGTTACTTTTAAAAGGCACATGTTTTGACCTTATCTCTCTCTATCTTGTAACAGTGGTAAATCTCTCTTATATGATACACAGAGCGTTTATGATTTCTGAAAGTAACGAGGTAGTAAGATGTATGGTTGTTTGTCAGGCAAAAAAGTTATTTGTTTAACATATAATGAAATATGAAACATTGCTTTTAAGCAGAGAGTGTTTCAATGGCATATTATTTACCGTAGCAGCATCAACAAGATAAATGCATACATCAAAATTTATAATTATGTTGTCCGACATCTTATCTGGATTGATGAAGTTACAGTGCTACTTTAGGATTTAAATAAAGACATGCGTGAAATTATAAGAAAAATTATTTTTATCAAAACAGTTAATTAAAACTGTTATTTTTCTTGTACTTTAATCAATACATATCAAGGCTTATTAACAATTTAACATTGTATCAACAGTGAAATGAGTGAAAGTGTATATTTTGCAAAAAAAAATATTTTAAATTATTATTATATTAAATTATTCTAAATATTCGCCAGTATAAAAATAAAAACAAGAACATTTAAAAAAGAAAAACAAAAAAACGTAAAGTCAAATACAACAAAACTTGGATAAAATATAAACGTACCAAACAGTTTAAATAATTGACACAAACATAACTCAAAGAAGCAAAAATGTAAATAATTTATCGCATTTTAATTATTGAAAATTGTTTAGTACAAGACAATGCATTGTATGGTTTCAGTTGATATTTAAATCATGCATTACTTGATGTTTTCAAGTGTAGAGTGCATTATTGTTTTTATAGCGCTGGCAAATTCTAACCATTTTTATAGTTATTTAGCTATATATAGTATAGGGAGTATATATCTAAAATCCATTTCGAGTTGTTTCCCTTGCGCTGCTTCGAATGATTATGAAAAGGCGATGTTGTCATATAAAGGATTAACTTTCTGTAGTGTTTGTACAAATAAATATATGACACAATAACACCAATTTGCATATTTGAAATAACGACGGCTGGTTATATTTATGCAAAATTGTTGATTTTATTGTTGTTTACATTTTCATTGTGGACGAGCGAATGCAAGCAAACTTAAAATGATCTTCAACGATTTAATTGATTTAATGAAAATTAAGCCTAAAGTTCAATCTCAAGGAAAGTTTCAGATTTCATGACGGATGCCAGCGCGACGACAGAGCCTTGTTGTTTGTTAAATTATCATACCACCTTTGTCGCATTTTATCCAACATAAGTTATGCTGCGATATCTTTTAACTAGAGAAATGCAATCTCCAAAAAGAACGACCTAAAAGGCAAAATTGAAAATGTTGACTCGGCCTTTTAATGGACAATAGTGGTAAATGCAAGCTCATATATGCCCCCTAGCACCGGCTTACACAGAATTCAACATTAAAACATGATATAGTGACATGTTGAATTTAGAAACATTTGCAACCGTGTTTCTTACTTTTTTTTTAAAACTATAAATCAGTTAAGTATCAATTAAATTGATCTGTCTTAAATTCTGTATGACTTTAAACTAATTTAGGCAAATGTAAATGAGTTATTGCTCTCAATAACAATAACAATAATAACAATAATTTAAACATAAAATGTTTCAATTATGTAGTCGTGTGTATAGAAAAGGCTCTGGAGGATTGCCTTGGATTTAAATGGTTTATAAGTAATTTATTTACCGCCCCGGGCATTAATTAACACTTTCAATAACTCTCCATCATTCTTCAAAAGGGGGTTTATTTGTTTGTGTCCGATTACTTAGATTTTCAATATATTTTCATTAGATAAAACAGCATTTGTCTCATTTGATGCGTATAGCCTAACATTCACATCAAACGTGAATTGATTCGCACATGGAGATTTTTAGTTAATGAGATTAGAATAATATCAAAGATTGTTTTCCTTTCATGCGGCACTTTTAAGAGATATAATTATGTTACACGAACATATTTGTAATACAATGCCTTTTAGGCTAGTCATGTTCCAAGTGACAAACTGTAGGTATATTTTTCATTATTATACTTAAAGGCACATTATGCCTAAGAAATCCATATTTTTTTATTCTTTAGAAATGTCAAACGTGCGTTTCATAATGTTTAAATGATGGTTTAATAGCATGAAAGATGTTTAACAACTGGATCGGAGACGCCGAACATGCAGTTATGTGTCGTAAAGTTAGCAAAATGTAAAGAAAGTAGTATTTACACATCCACACAAAATACAAAATTAATGCACCATAATTATACCAATTGCCAACAGAGCTAAAGACGTAAACGATATTTCATGTATATAGGAAAAGAGTATATTTTAGGAATCGTTACAGGATAAACATAAAAATAAACAGTTTTTGAAAAATAAAATTATATCATTTCTGAGGCATAATGGGCCTTTAATATAACGTTGAGTAATAATTACAATAAAGTGACAAATCAATATAATAACACCCAATGCGAAAGATTTATAAAACAATGCAAACAGTTATTATGCGAAAATGCATGTTTTATTTGAAAAGAAAAGTCAACACCTTTCATTGTTTTCTTTTACATTTATCATGGAATGACAATTGTGATTAAAAAGATAATAAATAAATGTTCAGATTGGTCTAACATGTCCTAAAGGCTTCATTTAATGAATTTTCCTATTTCATTTTCTTCCGTCTCATGTCTTTTATGCGTTTCTTTTGTAATTAACTTAAAAGCTATGTCTGTATTACTAACTAGAGTTATTAATGAGATGTCACAAAGGCTGAAAAGTGTGTTAAAGGTGACTCCGATAAATGCTTTGGATGTACATGTACACGTGTCCCGTAATGAGGACATCATATTTATACACAAAGTATTACATATACATGATATACAAGGGGTGTTCAGTAATTATGCAGAAAAGTCGTTACGGTGTTGGGCGGTTTAACTGGAATTACCTTAGACTTATATGTAATTTTGTAGTTACGTTTAAATCCAATTTTATTGAAATTTTGTGTATACGTTAACAATATGTTTATTTACAATATACAAAGAGAACGTGAATTTCCCATGAGTATTATATATATGACAGCACTTTTTCTGCGTATTTATAGAACACCTGATATCATTTTTATTAAGAGTTTTCTTAATTTAAGCAACTTCAGAATAGTTTGCTTATTAACCTTAGTGAGGCATTTCTTCTTACTTTCTAATAATTGTGAAAGTATAATAATCGTACTAAAAGTAGGATCGTCCCTTTTAACTGACAGGTGTTCCATCAGATGCCGATCTGGCCATTTATTCATTAAAAGAAAATATATCTTGCGACTCTTGCGAGCCTTTATTTCCAGAGAAAAACATTGCTTGTTTTGTTTAATGTGTTTGTGTGTTTGTGTATGTGTGTTTTTCTTTTTTGGTTTTGTTTGTTAGTTGTTTTTTTTTACTGTTTTTAAATGGTGCTAATAATTTCAGGAAAAAAAATGATCGCACAATGTATAAGTTAGGCATTCAAAAAATATTCAATGCATTTTGTTTTCGAATATTTCGTTAATTTACATATTATATTTTTGTTTCAAATATTGTTATTACATCACACGGCCTAAAAAGAAATGTTTCCGTTTCATATGAAAGAAATAAGTTAAAAATGTGAATGAATTATTCTGTAAAACCATAAAAGAAATTTTGTTTATGCTAACACACACTCTATTTAATTTTCATCAAATAATAATGCTTTTCTTTGTATAAGTATGTTTTCTTTCAAACACAGACGGGCAATTTGAACGATAATAAAATTAAAAAGTCCATCCCTCCTTCGAAAATGAATAAATAAATAAATAAAACAAAATAGAAAGTAAATAAAAAACACAAAAAAGACAACAAAAAAGAAAACAACAATTTAACAAACAAAAACACTATAATTTCTCTTTATTTAATATTGCAAACATTGCAGGATTCAAAATGTTATACACTTTAACTTGCATAAAAACATATTAAATTTGCATTTCTGTAAAAGGGAAATAGGGCCCTTTATTGTCTGTTAGATTCGCATAAATTCACTTCAAAATTTCTGTTGCCTGTAACCAAGCATGCTCAAAACATAAGAACGTTAGTAAATTTGGAGCATATTCAAAATTTTATTTCATTTTTTTTTTAATAAGCGGTTCATGTTATGATAACATATTTTAAAAAGAAACATTTTTGTGTCAATGTTTTTTAAACCCCCGCCGTATTAACAATATAAACTTTTTTCCAGAATAAATAATGGTTCAATTAATCATATCTTGATAGGTGGTCCTCTACAAGTTGACTGGACTTGACATCAACTGCAACATCGTCATAAACTAACCAGACAGAACACTTTATTTCCGATCAAGGTCTTTTACATACAACATGGGGATATGCAAATATACACAAATCAATCAATATAATTATTCGGTTCCGGTAAGGAAAAAAGTAAAAAATCGTGTTTTTTTTTGTTTTGTTTTTTCGCAATCAGTATCAGGTATCATAGGTGAATTCACTTCATACATGCGTGCTTACATGTAAACGCTATATAGCAAAGCAAAAAGGTATATATGCACTAAAATAGTAAATGTAAATTAAAATGTCATTTTAA